GCATTTTATAGGGCGGCATTAGATTTTTACATAACCCATCTTCTGTTAATGAAAATGAAAATGAAAATAATATAAATTAGTTTTTATCAATAATATAATAATTAAAATTAAAATTTTATCAATAATATGGCAACTGTTTATACAGTTATCATTTATTAATGACTTATCAGTTATTTAAGTATAGTCAGTATAGATACATTTTTATTTTTTAGTCTTGTATCAAAAATGATTAAAATTAATATTATTTTTATCAAATTATTTTTTATTTGTTTATTAGTGACCAAATCTTGTGCCCACAAGAAAATATTACAATTTCAGAAGATATTATAAATAAAAATATTGATACTGTTTATAAAGATAATTATTCTCAGCAAATGTGTGTTCTTAGCTCACTACATTTAAATTCAACTGAATTTACAGAACCTTGTCTAACAGTTTTGAATAAAAACAAAGATGATTATCAAACTAGTTTCCCTGGGTAAGCAATTTCTATTTTTGACACGTTCAAAAAATAATATAAAATATTATGTACTAATTAATGTAGGTACTAAAAATATGTTTGAACATACCTAGGTATCAATGATGATAGTTATAAGTTATTATTATTTTATAGGGATGATCCAGCTCTATGGGTAATTAATGAATCTGTTAGAGATTATATTGCATTACATGGATTTGAACAGAATTTAAATATCAATTTTTCCAATACAAAAAAGACATATAAAAAAAAAAATAGTCTAGGAGTAGTATGTACATATAACAGATATTTATCAAGAAATTTCTTCAATACAAAATTAATAAATGGAAAATCTATACCAAGAAGTTATATATCTTATTCCAAAAGTACAAAGAGCTTATTTTGTATTCCTTGTAGATTATATGGTGGAACAACAAGTTTTTCAACAACTGGCTTTTGTAATTGGTGGAAAGGGGAAGAAAAATTGCTACAACATGAAAATTCTAAAAGCCATAAAAATTGTGTTCTTAATTTAAAACTAAGAGCAAATGCATTGGGTCGTATTGACAATCATATGGTGATTCAATTGGATACTGAAGTTAAATACTGGAAAGATGTTTTAATTAGAGTAGTCGCAGTAGTAAAATCGCTGTGTTTGCGAGGATTGTCTTTCAGAGGAGCTGAAGATAAATTTGGATCTGTACATGGTGGTAACTTTATTATGAGTCTTGAACTCATTGCTGAGTTTGACCCCTTTTTAGCTAAACATATTTCAGACTATGCTAATAAGGGTAAAGGTTCTACATCATATCTGTCATTTGCTACGTTTGAAGAATTTATAAAACTTATGAGTAAAAAAGTATTCCAAACAATTATAAACGAAATAAAACAAGAAAAGTATTTTTCTATTGTAGTCGACTCCACTCCGGATATTTCCCATTGCGATCAACTTTCTATAATATTTCGGTATGTAAAAGAAAATGGGGAACCTGTAGAGAGATTTTTAATGTTCTTAACAAATATTGGTCATAAATCTAAAGATTTAGCTGATAATATTTTAAAGTTTATCGATTCAAATGGATTGGATATTAAAAACTGTCGCGGACAATCCTACGATAATGCTATGAACATGTCTGGAATATACTCTGGCCTCCAAGCACAAATTAAAAAAGCATGCACGTATGCAGTTTACGTTCCTTGTTCTGCCCACTCATTGAATCTGGTTGGCGAGTGTGCAGCAAGTTGTTGTACTTGGGCAAATACTTTTTTTAATTTGATTCAAAATATATATGTATTTTTCTCAGTTTCTACACACAGATGGAATATCTTGTCAAAAATTTTAAAGGAAACTGGTAATTTATCAATAAAAAGACTCTCTGATACTCGGTGGTCAGCTCGGCATGATGCTTGTTTAAGTATATCACAAAATTGGGAAGAAATCATTAAAGCATTAAAACAAATTATTGAAGATCCATATGAAAAAAACACAAACCAAGTGTGAGGCAAGAGGAATTTTAAAAACATTAAATAGTTTAGAAATTGGAATTTTAATAGCAATTTGGGGAGATATATTGCAACGCTTTAATAAAGTAAACAAAGAACTTCAAAAAGTTTCAATTGATTTAGAAACTGTGATATCAATGTATAACTCTCTTATCCAATATATCAATGATCTAAGAGATAGTTTCGATCACTATGAACAAATTGGGAAAACAAAATGTGGAATCAATGAATATAAAACTAAGAGACAAAATAAAAAACTCAAAATTGGAGAAGTTGATTTAAATTCTAAAGAATCATTTAAAATTAACACTTATATTGTAATCATGGACTCCTTACTTACTGAGTTGAGAAAAAGAAAAATAGCATATGACCTGGTAAATGAAAATTTTTCATTCTTCTTTAATATAACCAAATTAAGCATTAGTGAAGTTAGAGAAAAAGCTGAACGGTTAAGAAAACACTATTCAACGGATCTGGATTTATCATTTTCAAACGAATGTATACATTTTCGTAGCTATTTACTTACCTTACCTAAGGAACAATTACCTAAATCAATTATAGATATGTGTGTAATACTTAAAAATGAAGGACTTGAAGACATATACCCATACGTAAATATTGCTCTAAGAATGTATCTATGTTGCCCTGTGTCTAACTGCTCTTCAGAGCGATCGTTTAGTGCACTTAAACGCATTAAAAGTTATTTGCGGTCGAGGATGACTGATGAACGACTAAACAATATCGCCATATTAAATATCGAATCAGATATTACAAAAGGTTTAGACTATGATGATATAATCAATGAGTTTAGTTCCTTTAAAGCTCGAAAAAAAAATGTGAATTATAAACTATATTGATAATATATATTATGCTATGATATTATACTATATGATAATAACTAAACCTATTTTATATTAAATATGTAAATATGACTAATTTATAAAGATAACATGATATTTAAAATTTTAAATCTGCTTTTTTTTCTAACTTTTGGTCTAAAAAGGATAACGATAACGGGTTGTCACCGGAAAGTAAGCTCTAATGCGCTCGGTAGGTTGAAAAAGTAAAAAAAAATTTTTGGTGGGGGGGGGGCGGAAATCCATTGGCACCCGGGCGCCAAATTTCTGAATACGTCTCTGGTTAGATCAGTGTTGTTTTTCTTATTTAAACATAAGTTTTCCTTAAATTGTATCGTAACTTGTGTCACCTTATACCTTTCTCCGAGGAACGTACTATAAGTATTCACTGCGGCGAATTAGGTGCATGTTTAATATACTAATTGTTAGTACGGTTTCTGTTACTATCTAATTCGTGTAACGGTGTATTTGATCATATTCTTGAATCACGATCTCAAGAACCCTCTAGAGAACAGGAGGAAGGTAATAACACAAGAATAAGTATATTCAATATTTATTAATACCGGATTTACATACAAGGGTTGTGTCCCTTGTGTCAGTCCGGCTGCATCAAACTTATACCTTTTATCGTACCATTTAATATTTTTATATTTGAACGTTAGTTTCACTTTTTTGTGTTATTACAATAGTGTGAACCAGACTTGTTAATAATTGGTATTATTAATTATTATTATTTTGTTTTTTCTTTTTTTTACGAGCACCCTCGACGGCATTGCCACTAGCTAACATTTATTACGTAAATAAATACTTTTGTTATTAGATTATTAATTTATGTTATACTATTATTTATTAAATAAATTATTGATAATCATTATGTATTTTATCAGACAATTTATTAGCTTATTAGGTAATCCTGTGGCTTCTGCAGGTACAGAAAAATCTTTTCCTAAATTGAAAAACACTAAAAATTATCTTAGTAGTAATAGTACCATTTCTAAAGACCGACTTTTTGAATTAACGACGCTCTCAATCGAAAATGAATCAGTAGAAACATTAGATTAGATACGACCAACTTATCGAACAATTTGCACTCCATTAAGCCAGAAAAATTAATTTATTCAGTTATTGTATTTTTACATTTTATTTGTTTGAAAATAGACCTGTGGTATTGTTAAAATTATTTGCTATATTTAACATTTAATTCATATAGTCATGTTCTTTCATTACTTAATATTTTATACATTAAAATAGGATTTTATTCATATTTATTTAACATATTATTGAATCAATTAGAAAAGTTAAAATTTTTGGAAAGAAAATTTAATGATTATGTAGCATTTATATTGTATATAAATATAATCTAGACATTGTTGTGATGCATACTATTAGTATACAATTCTTTAAATGTCAACAAATAATAATCATGTAGGTAATACATATATTTTTTAATTTGTTAGTTCTAGTATGAAATATTTATGAGGAATATTATATTTCTTTTTTAAACCTTAACTATAAAAATTAAAAATTTTAACTTCAAATGCATATAATAAAACAAAACCTATTTTATAGTAAATGTTAAAGAATTATACCCTTTGAATATTGTTTTATTGAAATTTATAGAAAAATACTAAAATTAATCAAAACAAATTTCTGATGCTTAAAATTAGTTTTAATACATTTTTTAATTGAAATCAAAGCATTTTTATTATTCCAAAAGCTGATGATAATAGAATAAGATACACATATTGTAAAATCAATACATTTCACAGATCCTCTAAGAATCTAAAATAAAAAAAATTCTAGACCTAATGATAATAACTCTTGAATATTATTTGTATAAACGAAGTAAAAATATAGATTAAAATAACTACTTAGGTAAATATTTAATTACTATAAATACCTATTCATAACTTCAACTAATGGTAATTATACTTTCAAAGTATTGTAATTAAATATATACTTCACTACTATTAAATATTGTAGTTATTCCTGTTGATAAATCATATTGCTTCATCATAATTTTCGTAGTTAGGATTTAATAAAATAAATCCTATAGTAATTTAAATATCAATGTTTCATATGAAATTATCTAACTACTATACGAATATTGTACCAATTATAAAATATTAAAATGTAAAGAATATGTAGATATCAATAAATAATGGCACATTCTAGAAAAATTAAGATAAGAAAGACTAAATGTATACAGTAAAACCTTATTTTAAAGGATCTTCTATAAAATGGAATCTTCTATATAACGGAATTGTTTAAATACAGTAGTGAAATTGAACTCTTTTTATTGAAAAAATGTGTTGGATTCTGTTATAGAGGTTTTACATAATATTGTATTTATATATTAATTGCCTACATTTGGTAACAAGAGAAAGAGAGAAGCATCCATTTTTTTTTTTGAATAAATTGATAAAATAAAATATTTTATTAATTTAATTTAATATTTTAAACGTAGGTCTACATCAAGTATCTAATATAGGAGTTACTAAGTGGTTAATATCTGTCATTTATTTTAAATTTTAAATGTTTGACATATTACTTTCAAAAGATAAGTAATAGGACATTTAAATTAAATATTTATTCAATATTATTGTGAGACTTCATATCTCAATGGTAAAGATGAACTAATAATTGTGCCACTTATTACATCACGATTTATTCAATTTAATTTATGGTATTGAACGTTTTAAATGGTGAACATTAGTGATAATTTATGATAATATAGATAAAAAGCGTACTTAAGTATATCAGTTAATAGTTATCATAATATAACAAATAGTATAACTAATTCCGTTTAATTTGGCTCACAACAATCGCTGTGGTCCCAAATTAATAATTTTTCTAATATCTATATTATATTAGTTTTTGAATTCCTTTTTTTTTTTTTTATATTTTTAACGGTTACCGAGCGTTAACATGAACTAGACAGATTATACTATTGCGATGTACATTTTTGAAAGTTGAGTTTTTTCAGTGTTTTATTCATTGCTATCCAAAACATTCCATACCTTTACTTAATCATTAAAATAGTAAAATTAGTATGATACTAATAACTTAACATAGATAACTTAAATAAAAATTGTGGTAGGTATTTACTAAAGAAATCAATTACTTACCTCAGACAAAAGAAAGCTCTAGGTAAACGTAAAGTTATAGTTTATTTTTTCAACGCATTTGAGAAAAATGTAGTGCTTATAAGTTAAATGTCTTTATGATTGCTGGTAGGTAGCATCGATCTTCTATATATTTGTTAGTAGCTATAAATCATTAGTATAATATTATGTATTATCAATGCTGACCAGGTCTGACCTACCTAAATATTTGTAAGATATATAAAGTTCTTGCAGTCAATGTTGAATTGATGAAATCAATAGTATGTTAAACAAATAAACCATCTAAGAATAAAATCTGTAAATACAAAATGAATTCGTCTTTTATATTTATTCTGACTGAGCCAAAATAAGAAAATTGATACAAAACGCTCAGTAAATGTTTAGTTAAAATTAATTTAACAATATCATGGACGGTCTACAACATAAAGAAAGAGTGTCCCAAAAGAATGCTTTTTTAATGGTGATCGGTATCTGTGAACCTCGCAGAGCTGTGGTTTTATTAGGACAGTGCCCCCCCCCCTAGCACACAGGTGATACCATGTCTTATTTAGCATTTATTTGAAAAATAGTGATTTTTTAGTCAATTTACAAAAACGTTTATTTTGGGACACTCTTTACACACTCATATATTATATGTATATGTTTATAAAAATGTATTAGGTAAGAACAAGTTTTAATTTTTTTATTATTAACATTAATTTATATACAAAAACAGTTAGCTAAATAATATACATACAATAATAGAATCAACAAAAAATAATAGTATTAAAAAAAAAAAAACTTTGAATTTCATATCTTAAAATAACTTAACTTAATATGGCATCATTTTTATTTTAAAATAATTAAAAAAAAAATATATAATATAAATATCATGAATATGGCAAATTCATCATTTTTATTTCTTCGTGGTAGAATATACACCAGCCAACAACCGCTGGTATTTCTTTTTTCTACCACCTGTGAACAAAAATATTAATAAGAATAATTAATAAGTTATTATAATTATAACAAAATATTGATATTAATATATTGTTTAATATTTGCATTTAAATTGAGGTCAAAGAACCGTAATTTGCTTGCAGTTTTCCAAAAAATTATTATAAGTGATAAATTGCCGGAAATGAAATCAAAGTACTACCAATATTAACTAAAATTTGGTTAAGATTTGTTTTTTATTCGTAACTGAAAAAACATTTAATTGATAAGTATTGAATGGAGTGTTTTGATCATTAGAGCATTATATGTGTCTGTATGCCCAACTTAAATCTCAAATTTGCAACTGCACTTTTTATTTTGAATTAAAATAATATAAGTATGGGCTATATATCTTATAAAGTATAATAAATGGTTGATGAGACTTTTCTGATATTTACATTTATATTTCTATATTTTATTATGATATACTTATATATATGGATCTCCCAGAACCTTTTTTTCTTTTTAATGTTTAAAGCATTGAATTATACTCGATATAAGATTATAAAATTACTCATATTATTATATAATCACAGATAAAATATGCAATATAGGGCTATAAGGGCATGGTTATAAGACCCCTCCTCCACAAAATCATAACTACACCACTGATTGGTTGAAAAATTTAATTCAGTAACTTTAAAAATGGCTATATAATTTGATCTCCTTATTAGAATATAGATTTAGATTAAGTTATTATATAGACCAAAACCTAAAATATCAAAAGTACCAAAATACGTACGAAGCAAATGTCAGGTGGACGAATAACTCAGGTCGTCTTTCAGCCACTGTGGAATGGTAGTGTGTTCCAACTTGCGCAACAGTTTAACCAGCGCCGTGTTGTATGGCATATAAAATTCTCTAAGATACTTGTATGACTCCGCGTCCATAGAGGCGTACTGCCGACCTTTGCCTTTTCCCAAGCACTTATTACCACCCCCTTCCAAAACTTTGCAGAAGAATCCTTTCTTTGCATCATACCTGTAACGACATATGATAAGATTGTTAGATTTAATTTAGAGAGGTACGTTCAAAGGGCTATATTGTTTAATATATCAAATATAATGATATAGGTATATTATATTATTTATAGGTACCTGATGTGAGAAGAATAATCGAACGGTGGGGTGATTTTCAAGAACTTTTGAAACTGATCCAATACATCTACGGGATTGGACTTGAGCTGATCGCCATCAATTATGTGCAAATTATTGTGATGGAAATAATCTAGCCACCGTTCGATGTGCAACGCATATTTTCCTGGGTTCAAGCATCTAAAATCAGTATTAACAATTTATTGTTAAAGTTAATGCATGTATTTAACTTAAAAATATTATATTATATAGGTACGCTCCAGTAGACAAAACTAAGCTCGCAGGTTTGTCGTATCTTAACACTTTTTTTAAACAACTATTTCTAAAAACCATTCTTCACAAAAAATATTGGTATGAATAAGGTTTAATTTCAAAGCTGTTATCAAAAATATAATTATAATTTATAAATTATCAACCATAAGTGTGTTTACAATGTTTATGTCTTCAATTAAAACAATCTCAAACCTTTTTATAAATTTTAATGGTAATATTTTTAGTACCAATTTCAATAAAAATACATTTATCCCTATAAATAAGTACCTATTTTTTTTTGTTTATTTAAAATATAACATTTACAATATGCACAGTCTTTTGCAGAAAGAGAAAATTTGTGAAACACATTACACAACATATAACAAACAAAAACTGATAAGACTCTATGTATATATAAGTAAGTAGTTATAAATATTTAAAATAACCGACAATTAAGTATTTTATAGGGTATTTTTTTAATTGCTGTATGAACAACTTATGAGGAAACTTTTGTTATATTTTACAGTTAATTATTAAAAAAAAAATATAAACTGAATAGGAAATTTGAAAATTTGAAAACTTTAATTGTCTATAAATAACACAAAAACCCAAAATA